CTTATACTTTTACTCAAGTTGATTTTTTCATGCTATACTTTTATATGTGAATGCTTTTTGTTCCAGTATCAGTACATTTACTTAAGTAACAAATCTGAGTACTTCTTCCACTTCCATACTTTTACTCAAGTAGATTTTTTCATGTGATACTTTTATTTGAATGTTTTTTGTATAAATACATTTTAAAACAGGTACTTTAATACTTTTACTTGAATATTTTTGCTCCAGTATCTATACTTTTACTTGAATATTTTTGCTCCAGTATCTATACTTTTACTTGAATATTTTTGCTCCAGTATCTATACTTTTACTTGAATATTTTTGCTCCAGTATCTATACTTTTACTTGAATATTTCTGCTCCAGTATCTATACTTTTACTTGACTATTTTTGCTCCAGTATCTATACTTTTACTTGAATATTTTTGCTCCAGTATCTATACTTTTACTTGAATATTTTTGCTCCAGTATCTATACTTTTACTTGACTATTTTTGCTCCAGTATCTATACTTTTACTTGAATATTTTTGCTCCAGTATCTATACTTTTACTTGAATATTTTTGCTCCAGTATCTATACTTTTACTTGACTATTTTTGCTCCAGTATCTATACTTTTACTTGACTATATTTTTGCTCCAGTATCTATACTTTTACTTGAATATTTTTGCTCCAGTATCTGTACTTTTACTTGAGTAACAAAACGGTGTACTTCTTCCACTACTGTTTAGAACACAATCGTAACTCTTTAATAAAGTTTTGATTCTCTCTTGCAGTTATTTATTTATTTATTTATTATAGAAGCAGCAGAACAGAGCCCCTTTCTTTTCATACTTCAATACTTTTACTCAGAGTTTTTTCATGTAATACTTTTATTTTTTTTCTTCAGTAACTGTACTTTTACTTAAGTAATAAAACTGAGTATTTCTTTTACTCAAGCAGATTTTTTCATGTGATACTTCTATATTTGAATGTTTTTTACTCCAGTATCTGTACTTTTACTTAAGTAACAAAACTGAGTACTTCTTCCACTACTTTTAAAAACACAGTCTTAACTCTTTAATGAAGTTTTGCGGTCGCCCTATTCTCTCTTGCTGTTATTTTTTACAAGTAGCAGAACAGAACCTCCCCCTTTTTTATATAAATACATTTTAAAACAGGTACTTTTATACTTTTACTTGAATAATTTTGATCCTGTATCTGTACTTTTACTTAAATAACAAAACTGAGTACTTCTTCCAACCAATCTTAACGCTTTAATGAAGTTTTGATTCTCTCCTGCAGCTATTTTTTACAAGCAGCAGAACAGAGCCCCCCTTTTTTTAATACTTTAACACTTTTACTCAGAGTTTTTGGTAACACTTTAGTTTAGGGAGCACGTATTAAAAGTTAACTAAGTGATAATCGGTTTGCTAATTGGCTGTTACTTAGCTGTTAGTTGGAATTAATTAAACACTTATTAATGCTTATTAAGACTTCAGTATAGACACAAAAACATCTATTGTAATCTCCACGACTTTAATGGGAAGAAAATAGTTAATGGGTTAGTACTCGCAAAATACGTCTGTAAACAAAAATGTATTGAACGTACTTTATTAATACGAACCAAAAATGTAATTAAGCATTTATTATGTGTTTTATTATTAACTAGTGATTAATATGTGGCCCCTACAGTGTCGGGAGTAACGTGTTATAAAAGGAACAAATTACTGAAATGTGATTTTTATTTTTTTTTTTACAGTAAACCTAAGTCCTGTTTCAAGGGCTCAGGGGTCTCTCAGGGGCGGTCCTAGATTACAAGTCCTAGTCCAAGTTTAATCCTGGTTCAGTTCTGATTTAGACCTGGTTTGGTCCTCGTTTAGACCTAGTTTAGTCCTGGTTTAGTCCTGGTTTAGACCTGGTTTAGTCCTGGTTTAATCCTGGTTCAGTCCTGGTTCAGCTCTGGTTCAGTTCTGGTTTAGTTCTGGTTTAGTCCTAGTTTAGTCCTGGTTTAGACCTGGTCAAGTCCTGATTTAGACGTGGTTCAAACCTGATTCAGTTCTGATTTAGACCTGGTTTAGTCCTGGTTTAGTCCTGGTTTAGTCCTGGTTTAGACCTGGTTTAGTCCTGGTTCAGCTCTTGTTCAGTCCTCAGTTCAGTCCTGGTTCAGCTCTGGTTCAGCTCTGGTTTAGTCCTGGTTTAGTCCTGGTTTAGACCTGGTTCTGTCCTCAGTTCAGTCCTGGTTCAGCTCTGGTTTAGTCCTGGTTCAGTCCTCGGTTTAGACCTAGTTTAGTCCTGGTTCAGTCCTGGTTCAGCTCTGGTTCAGTTCTGGTTTAGTTCTGGTTTAGTCCTAGTTTAGTCCTGGTTTAGACCTGGTCAAGTCCTGATTTAGACGTGGTTCAAACCTGATTCAGTTCTGATTTAGACCTGGTTTAGACCTGGTTTAGTCCTGGTTTAGTCCTGGTTTAGTCCTGGTTTAGACCTGGTTTAGACCAGGTTTAGTCCTGGTTTAGACCTGGTTTAGACCTGGTTTAGTCCTGGTTTAGTCCTGGTTTAGTCCTGGTTTAGACCTGGTTTAGACCTGGTTTAGTCCTGATTTAGACCTGGTTTAGTCCTGGTTCAGTCCTGGTCCAGCTCTGGTTCAGCTCTGGTTCAGTTCTGGTTCAGTCCTCCTTGGTTCAGTTCTGGTTTAGACCTGGTTTAGTCCTGGTTCAGTTCGAGTTTAGTTAAAATGACAGTAACAAGTCATAAATAACACATTACAGTTTTGAAGTAACTTGACGGTAACTTGCGGGTCCCTAATACAAAAACTGTCACCGAGTTTTTTCATGTGACACTTTTACTTGAATATTTTTTGACCCTGTATCTGTACTTTTACACTTTTTCGCAGCAATGAGTTCTTTTTTACTCTTTAATGAAGTTTTGCGGTCGTTTTATTCCTTCCAGTTGTTGTTCTTTTTTTTTTTTTTTTTTCCACGCAGCAGAATGGAGCCTCTTTTATATTGCTTTTAAATTAATTTCTGGATTAGCGCGGAGTTACATGGTGAGATTGCTTTCTTTAATGCACGTCCACTCCGCCCACGTGTCTGCTCCGGCGTGTTTCATTTCGATGCCGCTGCTGCCGTGGTGCTGGTGCTGGTGGTGTACGCGCGTATTGCTGCGAGTGCGTTTTGGGGTCGCTGGTAAATGACAGATTACTCACATTTGTGCGAGCCTGTGTAATCCGATTCCGCTCCACTTCATTCTGTGCAAATCTGGTGGCGCAGTCCCGGCAGGCGACGCTAGGGGCGCTGTGGCTGCGCGCAGGCGTGACCAAGCGCGCGCAGAAACCTCCAACGAAAAAGTGAATGAAAATACGACATGCACTACGATATTCTAAGATGAAAACACAAGATCTTAAATGTACAATCAATATATGTTTTTATTTGTGTAACATGATATGCCAGAATATGATTTTTGTGACAACTAGACCCTCGTTTTTGTGTTGTTGATTTTGAGTTTTTTTTAAATGATTTAAATTTTTGCTTTTATAGTTCACGTTACATATCCATCATCATGAAGCCAATCCACATATAAAAGCAATAAATAAATAAATAAATAAAAAATCAACAACACAAGAGAGGATAGTTGTCACTGTCACTAGTAAACAATTTATTTTATTTAAATTTATTTCAATTAATTTTCTGTTGACTTTAATAGTAAAAAAAACAAAAAAAACAAAAAAAAACACACAATTTATTTTATTTAAATTTATTTTGATTTATATTCTGTTGTCTTTAAAAATAAAAAAAATTAAAAAACACAATTACATTTTTTATGTATATAATATTGTCTTTATTATTATTATTATTATTATTAGTAGTAGTAATAATAATAATAATAATAATAATAATAATAATTTCATTTTATTTATTACATTTTAAACATGACCACATTTAAATTCACATTAGTTTGCAATAACAGCTTCAGGATTGTATTTTTATTTTTTTTTTATTTCTATGATTTTCACACAGCATAGTATATACATAATTTAAGAGGACCTATAGGCATTTACAATAAAAAAGTAATAATAATAAAAAATATACATAAATAATAATAATAATAATAATAATAATAATAATAATAATAATAATAATAATAATAATAATACAATAAAAATATACTAAGCATTGTTTTGAAATATTACAACATTAACACTGAGAAATAAATCATTCTTGTGTAGATAAATTAAATAGGCCTCTACTATTAGGGCCGATTACTATTGTTCTTAATGCATCTAATACTTCTAATACTTTATAATACAAACTTACAACAAGAGAGATCACAAAAATACTACTCACTGTTAATCTACGACTACTACTACTACAGATAAGCCTATAATAATGTTTCTATCAATCATTATATCATCTTTGCACTTTTTCCTCACGACCTCTTGTGTATAACTGCTACATACTGTATTTATATTACAATATTAGTTTTTTTTTACTATATTGTACATGTACATTTATATAATTTATGTCTTATTTGACACCTGTCTCTTGCTTATTTAGAAGTTTATTGCCATTTTGATATATGTTTTATCTCTTTATTATTAAATATATATTGTGATGTGTGGCTATTGTGTCCAAATAATTTCCTTTGTGGATCAATAAAGTCTAAATCTAAGTCTGATCTATTTAATATTCGATAAGTAGCCTCATATTTAATAATAAGGTGTATCTGTATCTGTATTGTGTTGTGTCTCTAAAAGGATTCTGCAAAATCTATTTCCCTCTCTCTCTCTCGCTGGATAAGGAGAAAATATTTTATCTTTGAGTCTTACACTGGTTGTTTTCTACATTTCAGACATGCACTGGGTCGTCACTGAGGCCACTGGTGTTATTGGCTAATTGAAAATCGCAGCCTGTCATGTGTCTGCTCGGGGGGCAGGCTCTGAACGCCACTGGCTGCTTCGCTCATCTCCTCCTCGCGGCGCATCGACTCCATCGTCACTCGACTCCCGTCTCCCTCCCCCTGAACCAAACTGCGCTCTGACCGCCGCAACTTTTGCAGAGACTCCTCACTCCTCACTCCTCAGACATGTCGCACAATAGCTGAAGTAAACCTGTCATCTCGGCTCACCCCCCTCGGAGCCTCCTCGAACGCGGCGCGGCTGGGATTATTACGCACGGAACCTCTCCTCTTCGTCTCTCCTCGGATCGGACCGGACGTGAGCGCTTGGATATGAATTGCGAGCTTTTTTGTCACTAATGAACTGGGCCAGTAATGCAGGAGATCGCGGCGACTCTCTCATCACCCGTGTCTCAAGATGGCAGATTTTTATTGAGTTTTGAGCGTAAATCGCGCTGTATTCCTTTGCCATGAATTACAGAAACCCTTGCACCGATGGCCCCTGTATACGAAGGTAAGACATCCTCGTATCGTACTGTGTGCACTGACTGATGCCGTAGATCAACGCGAGGCTGTACCGTGCAGCGCTGATTATTGCATCCTCTCGTATTCCTCGCAATTAATGCCCAAACGCGTAATTTCGTGGCACACGTGTGGACTTTGCGTTCCGTTTAGACGCGCAGTTTGGGCAAACGCTCGTGTCACGTTGATCCCAGACTGACTGAGTGCCGTGTGCGTAAAGCGAGCCCCGATAAACCTCCAAATGTTCCACGATAAGGTCAAAGATTAGCCCACCGAGCCACGCACGCGTTCACGCACACCTGGAAATGCCATGTTTTTGTGTGTGTGTGTGTGTGTGTGTTTTCCCTGCGTAAAGAAAGAGGCAGGGGCAGCGAGAGAAGAAGGTCCGTGCCCGGTCGCCTCGCGAAGTGTCGCCCGCTCCCCATTCACTCTCTTTCACCTTTCGTTAGTCATTTCCACAACGCGCAGACTTTACGTGTTGCAGTACGGCGCTTGTGCATTGATACGGCTTGTTTATTCGTCTCCCAAAGCAGAACCTGAGCACGGGATTTTCGCTATTGCTGCAGCATTGTTAGTGTGACAAATCCAATTGTGGGAACGCTACGCCTGCACGCCGCTTTCCCCCCGTTTGTTGGTGCCGTTCAGGTTTTCGCCGTGGGAACGTAAAGCACACAGTCTAATCATGTGTTTGTTTTTAATGTCGTGCGCCACTGGACAAGGTAGCCGATTATAAATGTGGTATAACGCGAGCCCGGTGAGTTACAGTACGTACGTGGTCGCTGCTGTGTATAGAGATGAGAAGATAAAGTGTGATTGAATAGGGACCTTAGTGCCCGGCTTATCCAATTCAGTTAGAGTACATTTTCATTTTCTTATCTTCGGTTGTGTTTCATTGAGACGTATGCGTTCTGGAGCGCGGCTTGGCACGTTTATTAGCTCGTTGTAACCCGGATAAGTTAACGTCTTGCTTTGCACTTTTTTAGCTGTGAACGCAGGAGAAAATAATCTGTAATTGAGCTGGATAATGGTGTTAATTGTTGGATTTAAAGAGCCAACATTACGCAGTTTTCAGATCTGTGTTTTCACGTTTTCTCGTCCAAAAAAACACACTTGGAGTTGCGTTTTGTTTTCATTCACACACGTCTAACACGCAAACTCAACATTTTAAAGCTGGGGTCCACCTCGTGATGTCAGGTGGTGATACAGGAAGAGCTCCACCATGGTTTTAAAATGCAATACGCCAGGCATGTCCGCGAGCCAAATCCGACCCTTAAACAAATTTTTATTGGTCTTCAGGCTTCCAGGTGAATTGGCCCAAATTACCTCGCATCAATTAAAATTTTACTTTTTGCTAGAGGTGTAACGATATCCAAGTCTCACGATACGATATCATGAACGTCACGGTACAATATTTATTGCGATATCGTGGGAAAGCTCACGATTAGAGATGTAATAATATCCAAATCTCTCTGTACGATATTTTCACGATATACATGGCACGATACGATATTTATTGCGATATTTTGTGGAGGTAAACAAAACTGTTAATATGCAACTTTTTCCTCTTAAAATGCCTTGACAAGAATTAATCCAAAAAACTAAGACTTAAAAGTATTTAGAACTGTTATTTCTTCTTGTGAAATGGAGCAAAGGATCATGGTCTATGTAGTTCCCTTTGTCTTTTTTTAGCCATTGCTGCACCATAACTCTTAATTTAAGTAAAGAGACTTGTAATTCGATATATTGTGATGGTCCACGTTATTATTGTGAGAACTTTGACGATACAATATCACGATATTTCAGTTATTGTTACATTCAAGTTGAAAATCTACCTTGATAAAGCTGGTATTTAATATTTAGTGTGTGATTTTAAGGATCTTAGCATGAATAAAGGACTGATGGCTCATTCTAACGTGTTTAAACATGCACATATTTTAATTATTCACTGTATTGAGCGCCAGTGTACAAGATTGATTGATCAGCCGGTTTCACTTTGTGGAAACCGTCTGACCTCGCAGCATTAGGATTCGTTCGCTTGATGGTAGGCGGGTACTTTTTTTAAATTTAACCAATCGCTGCTGTTTGGTCGTGACATATGCAATGCACCAAATCCTGTAGGAAGAAGGGCATTAACGTCTTTCCCCTTGATAAAATTGACAAAACATTCTCTTTGTTTCGGCTTTAAATCCTCGATCTCAGGAATCGTTGCCAACACAGAATGTATGTCTCTTCGCTGATTGGCTGGTGCCCGAACTCGCACTTCTGGTTGTTTTTGCGAATCGTCTAGTGAATTCCGATTCCTGACCTGGTCGCTGTAGAGAAATGAAATTGAACGGAGGCACTATCTCCCATTGGTGAAAAAAAGTTTGGACACCTCTGCCTTACACCTTCAATTTCAGCTCTGGAATTGCCGATCTCTACTGAACCAAAGGTAAAAGGAGCTAAAAACTACCGCTTCATGACATCACAAGGTGGAACGGAGTATTTTGAGGTTTGGAAATGTAGACAGACTAATAATAAAGTGTTACTCAAACGTGTGAATGAAACGAAAACACCAACAACAGAGTCAATCGAGTGTAATATAGGAGCTTTAAGAAGAACCGAATCTGGATATCGACATCATATTTAATCTCTGTTTGAAGCGATATCAGGGCGTATCAGGATCAAACCCGTCTTCAGCGCTGCGTGCGCCTCTGCAGGACGATCACAGCGTTGTTTTTTTCATTAGGCGTTGTACTGTTTTAGCTCCAGACTCCAGCGTCTCAACATGAAAAGAAAAAGTTGAAACGAGACTCTGATGCAAAAGGTAATTAGTGTAAATTGCGTTCCCTGGTTTTTCTCCCCTCCACCACAGAGGACGGAGAGAGGGAAGAGAAGGAGGAGGAGGGGGAGAGAGAGGAGAAGAGGAGGGGAGAGAGAAAGGATAAGAAGGGGGCAGAGAGGATGAAAGGGAGAGAGGACAAGAGGGGGGAAGAGAAGGGAAGAGGACGAGAAAGGGAAAAGGATAGGACCAGAGGAGAAGATGGGAAGAGGGAGAGGGCGAAGAGGGGAGAGAGAGAAAGAGACAGAGGACCAGAAGATGATAAGCAGGGAAAAGAGAGAGAGGATGAGAAGGGAAGAGACAGAGAGAGAGAGAGAGAGAGAGATGAGGACAAGAAAGGGAGAGGAGGAGCAGGATGAGAAGGGAAGAGAGAGAGGAGGAGAAAGGAAGAGAGAGACAAAGAGAGAAAGACAGTGTGAGAAGGGAGGAGGATGAGAAATGGAGAGGGATAGGACGAGAGGGGAAGAAGGGAAGTGAGAGTGGACAAGGGAAGAGGACCAGAAGGGAAGAACGGGAGAGAGGATAAAAAGGGGAAAGAGAGAGGGAGAGAGAGAGAGAGAAGACAAGAATGGGAGAGGGATAGGACGAGAGGGGAAGAAGGGAAGAGAGAGTGGACCGGAAGAGGAGAGGACGAGAAAGGAAGAAGGGGAGAGAGGATGAGAAGAGGGGACAAGAGAGGACGAGAAGGAGAGAGAGAGAGGGTGAGAAGGGAGGAGGAGAAAGGGAGAGGGAAAGGACGAGAAGGGAAGAAGGGAAGTGAGAGAGGACCAGAAGAGGAGAGGATGAGAAGGGGAGAGAAAGGGGACAAGAAGGGAAGAGAGAGGACGAGAGACGATAAGAAGAGAGAGAAAGAGGGGACAAGAACGGGTGAGGATGAAAAGGGAAGAAGGGAAGTGAGGGGGGACAAGAAGGGGAGGGGATGAGAAGGGAAGAGGATGAGAAAGGGAGAAGGATAGGACGAGAGGGGAAGACGGAGAGAGGAAGAGAGAGAGGGTGAAAAGGGGAGAGACGGAAGACAAGAACGGGAGGGGACCTGAAGGGAAGAAAGGAAGAGAGAAGACGAGAGAGATGTTAATAAGAGGAGAGAGAGAGGACGAGAAGGGGAGAGAAAGAGGAGGAGAGAGGAAGAGAGAGGATGAGAAGGAGGGAGGGAGAGAGAGAGAGAGAAAGAGAGTGTGAGAAGGGAGGAGAATGAGAAAGGGGAGAGGGAAAGGACCGGAAGAGGAGAGGACGAGAAAAGAAGAAGGGGAGAGAAGGAGAGAAAGAGGGGGAGGCTGAGAGGGGACGAGAAGGGAAGAGGACAAGAAAGGGAGAGGGATAGGATGAGAGGAAGGAAGGGAAGAGAGAGGACGAGAGAGATGACAAGAAGAGGAGAGAGAGAGATGACAAGAAGGGGAGAGGATGAGAAGGGAAGAGAGAGGACCAGAAGGGAAGAAAGGATAAGAGGGGGAAAGAGAGAGAAAGAGGACAAGAAGGGGACAGAGAAAGAATGAGAAGGGAAGAGGATGAGAAAGGAACAAGGGAAGTGAGAGAGGACAAGAAGAGAAGAAGGGGAGAGAGGATAAGAGGGGGAAAAAGAGAGGACGAAAGGGGAAGAGAGAGGACAAGAAAGATGATAAGAAGTGGAGAGAGGGAGGACAAGAAGGGAAGAGGAGAGGATGAGAAGAGGAGAGGACGAGAAGAGAAGAAGGAGAGAGAGGATAAGAAGTGGAAAGAAAGAGAGGACGACAGGGGAAGAAGGGAAGAGAGAGAGAGGACAAAAAGGGGAGAGAGAGAGAGAACGAGAAGGGGAGAAGACGAGAAAGGAAGAAGGGAAGTGAGAGATGACGTGAAAGGGAGAGAGAGAGAGGACCGGAAGGGCAGAGGAAGAGAAAGGACAAGAAGGGAAGAAGGGGAGAGAGGACAAGAAGGGGACAGAGAGAGATCGAGAAGAGGGGGATGAGACGGGGAGAGAGAGAGAGGACGAGAAGGGGAGCGAGAGAAAGGATGAGAAGGGAAGAGGACGAGAAGAAAAGAAGGGGAGAGAGGGAGAGGATGAGAAGGGAGGAGGATGAGAAAGGAAGAGGGATAGGACCAGAGGGGGAAAAGGAAAGAGAGAGGACGAGAAGCGGAGAGGACGAGAAAGGGAGAGAGAGGACCAGAGGGGAAGAGGTGAAGGAAGGACGAGAGGG